AATAGCAGAACATTCAGTTGAACACCCATACTTTGAAAACGATAGGAGTCCATTATCGTTGTAACCAAGGGACTATTACTGAATAGAATAATCACACGGAGTTTGGTAATGAACGATAATACTTAGGACAAGAACAACACATATAAGATTCGCCAGCGGCGCGTAGAAGTAGTAGTCAACTGCTAGAAGTGAGTCAAGTGAATACCACAATGAATCTCCAACTGCAGGATATCCACCAACCGCCCCACGCTGTCAGGTGTGACACAAGGCCGAATTTAATGTTGGGTAACCGAGCCCGTAGACTCGGTCAAAACTTCCACGTAGACACTGTATAAAACGGAGTCGGGTAGCTGTTTCCCGAGACGAGACTCTGCCCTTCGATATAGTCTTGTCTGGGGATCCTCTCTGTCCGGAGACAGAGTTTGGCCAGTACAGCTGGAGACGAATCTCCAACTGCAGACCAACATACAGTATTTACTACTATATTTATGCGAATGGGGACATACCCATTATTTTCCGTAGGTATGCTGAAACATATATATTTATTAATCTTCTCGAATTCATGATTATTTTCTTAGTGTTGTTACAAAACTGAGTAAGAAAGACGCCCTAGTTTTGTTTATTTCTTTTCTTTTCCCAATTACTTTCAGTCTCATCCAACATGATCTTCAGGGGTGGAACATAAATCTTTCTGAAATAACCCTAAAGAGATCAACCTACTATACCGTAATCAAATACCTTCTAACTACAAAAGAGATGAATCCCTAAAAATTCTTAAAACTTCTTTAAAGAAATCTCTAAAAACGCAAGAGTACTAAAATATTCGTCACTGATACCAATAAAAAATTTTAAAAAATAAAACTAATAATATACTAAACTTAATATAACCAACTTAACCATTCGCAATAACTCTTTTCCATCAACTAATGTTTTGCAAAAGACCAACATAGTATATCTATTTAAGTGTCCTTTGGAAGATCGTATCACACAAAAACGTATATATATATATATATATATATGTTTCATTATTAAGATGGCTTTCTTTACATATGTTGGATTATAGTTCTATTGCGCAACATTTAAAAGAACATTCCTGTCCACATTCACGTTTGTTAGAAATATTAACTGACAATACAAGTATACTCTAGCATGAAAATAAAAAAAACAAAAATTTCTAATTCTTGAAGGACTCTATACAAAAAAATGCAATCAACACTAAATAAAATTAATTATGAGTTTAGCAACAATGTTTAAATTTTGTAATTTTTTATTAATTCAAAAAATAAAATTTCATGTTGATTATTTAAAATCATTAATAATAAAAAAAATATTAAGTTACCTCCCTTACATATTCTTAACGTTAATTTTGAAATTGGCTATAACAGAACGTGTGTCATGCGCATTTACAAAAATATCACAAATAACAATTACATTAATTTTTTTTGTCTTAGCACTTCACCCCTGAAGATGATCTTGGATGAAATTGGAAGTACTTAGGAAAATAAAATTAAAAAAAAACCCCAAAACTATGATGTCTTTCTTAGTCATTTTTTAACAGCACTAAGAAATTGATCCGTGAATTTGAGAGTATTAAAATAAAACTAAATAACACACACACACACATATATATATATATATATATATATATATATATATATATATATATATATATATATATATATGAATGTGCTCTACTGTTTATCAGAGCTAAATATAAAATTTGATTTATGGTATGCTATATTTATGTGTTAAAGTGCTCAATATCGGGGATAGAGCGTATATAAATATACAAGTGGACATTGAAACCAACACTCAGAGACGACAGTATTTTTCATACTTAAACACAATCGTCAGACACATAGCCTTATCCCTGATATTGAGCACTTTGACCCATAAATATAGCATAGCTTAAAACTATATTTTATCGTACATATCTATATAAATAAATTCGTTTGTCAGTGTGTCACACCTTCTCAACCTTACTCCAAGAGGCCGTAGCCCAACATATCATACTATTTTGGAATCGCGCCAAATCGGTGAGCAAATTAAAAACATTTTGATCCGGCCCCTGCAATTGAAATTTCAGATTCCAAATTTTCATTACTGCGATTGTTTTCGGCGATATTTTTACTTGAGTTTTGCGATTAATTTTTTCTGCTATAACAATTTTTGTAACAGAGAAATAAATTTGGGAATAATTGAAATTAATTACGTAATCCAGCGATAGTCACCCATAAAATGAAAATAATTATTTGTAAGGAAAGTCAGGACCCACGTTATCAATCTGTCTTTGAATTGAGTGGCGGCAGAAGAATTATCATTGGACCTTTTTTTTTTTTAAGTTAAGCTGAAATATAAATGCAATACATAAATGCAGCGATCAATTTCTGAGTTCTTCTGTAGTTGTTGCCTATCATATACAACAACAGTATGTTTCGCAAAAAAGAAATCTTCGCCAACAGAGGACCATATTGCAGTCAAAAGAGCCAAGGCTGCAAGGAAGAAAAGAAAGTCCCGTGCAAAAGAAAATCCAGATTCCAACGACAGACAGGAGAGCTTCCAATGCTGAGAATATTTAAAGACTTAGGGACTCTCAGACTGTTGAACAAGCCGAAGACACAATTAAGAGCTCTCCGCAGTAGCTAGCTTAATTTCCGCACGATAGGGTGGTTTTAAGCCAGGAAGAAATATGTATATAATATATATAAAACATATATATATAATATATATGTATATAATTCATACATATAACATATATATAATATATGTGTATATAATATAACATATATAACATATATATAATATAATATATATGTATGTAATATAACATATATATATATATATATATATATATATATAAAATATATAACATATATATATATATATATATATATGCATAAAATATATAACATATATATAATATAATATATATGTATAAAATATATAACATATAATATAATATGTATAAAATATATAACATATATAATATATGTATAAAATATATAACATATATATAATATAATATATGTATAAATATATAACATATATATATATATAATATATGTATAAAATATATAACATATATATATATAATATATATGTATAAAATATATAACATATATATAATATAATATATATGTATAAAATATATAACATATATATAATATATATGTATAAAATATAATATATATATGTATATATAATATATATATATCTAATATGTATATATATAACATATATATATGTACATAATATATAACATATAATATATATATATTATATATATAACATATATGCATATAATATCTATATATGTATATAATGTATATATAACATATAATACAACATATATATATAATATATATATATAACATATAATACAACATATATAACATATATAATATATATAATATATATGTATATAATGTATATATAACGTATAATACAACATATATAATATATATATAACATAACAAAATATATATATATAATATATAACATGTATAATATATATAATATATAATATATAATATAACATATATATAATATATATATATATATATATATATATATATATATATATATATATATATATACATGAAATGAGAACGAATCAAATATAAATTCAGACGTTCACAGCATTAATATAAATATAGTCTTCAATACAATAGTAGAGTTATAATTCTTTATTATTGGATAATATATATATATATATATATATATATATATATATATATATATATTTTCAACAGAACGTCTCTTGTCGTAGAAGATATTTAATTTGGAATAATAATAGCTTCTCCTATTTTGAGTTTGTTCGTGCATTGCATGTTATAGAGTATTTTGGTATTATCCACTAATATGTTTCATATTGATAGTTGTATTTTTGTCGTTCGTGGTGTGCTGGTCGATATGTGTATAAATTGCATTCAGTTTCAACAGAGGGTATGTCAATCTATAGAGTATGTGGTTCATGTATGTCTGATGTAAGAATTTAATGCTGTTTTTTTTTTTTTATATAATTAATCTTAAAGATGCAATCTCCCGGAGGGTATGAGAATTACTAGGGAACATTATTTTTACACGGATGATCAATACACTTTACAGCAAAATGACCAACAATACATGTTGTCTTTAGTTGAAGGCATACGGTTGCGTTCAAATATATTTTGTTGAAGCCATAAAATTGTATTCAAAATAGTTAGATTCTGGCATTAAATAACCCATAGAGGTGTTGATATGCCGCAAAACGAAATCAACTAAACAACAGGAAAGAACTCTTTCATGACATTAATCCATATCGTATCCTACAATATCTTAAATCAAACTGTATTCCAAAATATAACTTAAACAAAACTACAACATAAAACACATATAACACCGACTCTAGTAAATATATATATATATATATATATACAAACATGTCTCTGCATCAAAGCTGAGTATCATCTACCATGTATTCAACTGTGAAAGCAAAATAAAATTCCTTCAAATCTCCCATTAAACTTCAGCATTAAATGACCTATAAGGATTTGATATGCTGTCAAGCAAATCGATCAAATCAAATCAATCATCTTTTTATCCCTCTTTATTCTTCTCTTTTTCTTTCATTCTCCATTCCTAATCTTTTCCCTCGCCCATACACTGCTTATTTCTTTTCATTCTTCTATCATTCTCTTCCATTTTCTCTTTTTCATCTCTCTATCCCATATTGCTAATTTAATCATGAACAGCCTCTTATTTTCGTTCTTTATCGCTCCCGCCCCTCTCTTTCTCTCTCGTGAGTTTTCCTAAGTTGAGATTAACTTTATTTAATAAAATTTTGACTCAAGGCCCCAAGTCTAGATAATTCATTGAGGATCGAACTGACGACTTCGTAGTAATGGCCAACTTAACTGGCTCGCTGCTACGGCGAGGTGCCCTAACTGAAGACATGCTATAAAAAAATTATTTTGAAACAACAATCTCCATTGTCTTTTAATAGACAAAGTCGGACATACCAGGAGAAGAAAAAGGTATAATGTTGTATAAACGAGAGGGAAGAAAGAAAGAAAGAAAGAAAGAAAGAAAGAAAGAAAGAAAGAAAGAAAGATGTACGAATTGAGGTGAGAAGGAGGAACAGACAAAAAGTTTGAAAATATAATATCGAAGTCGAGGAGGAAATAAAAAAAAAAAAGCGTTAAACTTGAATAACCACGGAAAGAATTCGTCCTTTTGACTTGATGAGGAAAACACATGATCAAAACAAATTACAATCTCTCGTGTGTGTGTGTATGTGTGAGTGAGAGGTTGGGTAATTGTATTTGAAAAGACTTCTTATTTAGTTTTCCACCCTTTATTTTATTTTCCTGGAACACTATCAGCGTCGGCTTCTTTTCTGTGTTTTTTTTTTTTTATTGTTTTTTGTTCATCTTTTCCTTTTATGCATTATAGCCTTAAATTATTTTCTGTCTTTGTCATTTTTTTTTTTTTTTTTTTACTTTTCTGTTAGATTTTTCCTAAAATCTAAACCTTTTCTCTTTAGAAAATTTTTGACCTTCTAAATAAGTTGAGTTTTTTGTTTTACATTTTCTTGTTTTCTTCAGTTTTGATTTAATGTAACTTTTTTTCAGACACTTCTTACTCGCACCATTCTACTTTTTTCTTTCCTAATTCGTTCTGGTCTTTTATTTTTATTTTCTTTACCAACTTCTATTTTTTTTTCTCGTCCTTTCCTCTTCCTTCTTTCTTACCCTTTCTTCTTCATTGTTTCTCGCCCTTTCCTCTTCATTCTTTCTCGCCCTTTCCTCTTCCTTCTTTCTCGCCCTTTCCTCTTCATTGTTTCTCGCCCTTTCCTCTTCATTCTTTCTCACCCTTTCTTCTTCATTGTTTCTCGCCCTTTCCTCTTCATTGTTTCTCGCCCTCTCCTCTTCATTCTTTCTCACCCTTTCTTCTTCATTGTTTCTCGCCCTTTCCTCTTCATTGTTTCTCGCCCTTTCCTCTTCATTGTTTCTCGCCCTTTCCTCTTCATTGTTTCTCACCCTTTTCTCTTCCTTCTTTCTCGCCCTTTCCTCTTCCTTCTTTCTCGCCCTTTCCTCTTCATTGTTTCTCGCCCTTTCCTCTTCATTCTTTCTCACCCTTTCTTCTTCATAGTTTCTCGCCCTTTCCTCTTCATTGTTTCTCGCCCTTTCCTCTTCATTCTTTCTCACCCTTTCTTCTTCATTGTTTCTCGCCCTTTCCTCTTCATTGTTTCTCGCCCTTTCCTCTTCATTGTTTCTCACCCTTTTCTCTTCCTTCTTTCTCGCCCTTTCCTCTTCCTTCTTTCTCGCCCTTTCCTCTTTATTGTTTCTCACCCTTTCCTCTTCATTGTTTCTCGCCCTTTCCTCTTCATTGTTTCTCGCCCTTTCCTCTTCATTCTTTCTCACCCTTTCTTCTTCATTGTTTCTCGCCCTTTCCTCTTCATTGTTTCTCACCCTTTTCTCTTCCTTCTTTCTCGCCCTTTCCTCTTCCTTCTTTCTCGCCCTTTCCTCTTCATTGTTTCTCGCCCTTTCCTCTTCATTCTTTCTCACCCTTTCCTCTTCATTCTTTCTCATCCTTTCCTCTTCCTTCTTTCTCGCCCTTTCCTCTTCCTTCTTTCTCGCCCTTTCCTCTTCCTTCTTTCTCACCCTTTCCTCTTCATTCTTTCTCACCCTTTCCTCTTCATTCTTTCTCACCCTTTCCTCTTCATTCTTTCTCACCCTTTCCTCTTCATTCTTTCTCATTTCCTTTCATTCTTTCTCACCCTTTCCTCTTCATTCTTTCTCACCCTTTCCTCTTCATTCTTTCTCACCCTTTCCTATTTTATCTTTTACCGTTTTTTTTCTTTTTCTCTTTTCTTATTTTTATGTTTTCGTTTTTATCTTTTTTTTTTTCTGCATCTCAATTTTCCCTTTTCCTTCCTCTTTCCTTCCCCCTCTTCTCTTTTCCTCCGTCTTCTTTTTTCTTCCTTCTTCTTTTTTCCTCCTCCTTCCTTTTCTCTCCCTCTTTGAATCTAACCATCGTATATCACTCTTTGAGTTTTTCTTGCCAAAGTCATTTACATTCTCGATTCATGTCTCCCTGCCTTCTCTCTCGCAATCTTTTACCATCAAATAGAATTCCCACTAAACATACACAAACATTAATTGGATTTATATCTCCAATTATTCAGTTGATATAAAAGAGTTAATCTGCCTTATTCTGCTCAAGGGTCTCCCTAAAGACACCATGCCACAGGTAGTCGATTGGGAATTTCAGATATGCGTGGCAAACGAAGCGAAAAGAATAAGTGGTGAACAAAACACTGAGGAGAAGAGGTTCGTTAGGAATATTTTTTCAAGACCTTGCCAGACAGCTTGCTTTCTTTATTTCTCTAAAGAGACACGGGTTCGAATCTCACTATGTCACATTTTTCTGGAGATGACATCTTGGTGTTTATCATCAGGGGGGGGCGGTCCCAGCTTGAGGAACCATTGAAACTATGCCAATGGTTGACCCATTCCTTGTGAACGAAATTGGATATTACGTACGCTGTCGGTGGCTGTTTTAGCACAAAGTCACAAGTCATCGTGATCGAGAATTTGAATGTACTGTTGGTCACAATAGATGATGCACTCTCTCCCAGAAAATGGAACTACGGTCCTCTCAGCATAGCTACAGCATAATCCACAGGCGGGTTCCGTCAGTGTAGTACAAGTGCAAATGTGCCGGAGCAGGCATCTGCAACAGAGAATGGCTATTGCGGACTTCAAAATCCGAATCTTGGTTTGGTTTCTAAGTTTAGCAACGTATTAACCTCTGTCATTTAATACTGAAATGTAAATATTTACTTCATTTTTTATAATTTTTAATTTTGGGACATAATAACAGTTTACTGATAAAAGTCTTACTATTTAACCCATATGTGGTGGAAGAAGAGTGTATTTTCGCGTAAGTAAATATAACGGACCCAACTGGAATTGGAACTCGGCTCTCCGATTAACAATTCCGAGCCATTATCCATTCACACATCCAAGCTTACAGCACATGATATTCCCAGGTGGTCTCTCATTTAGTTACCGTAACTAACGTCTGCTCAGCATAGTTGTAGTATAAACCACAAGCGAAATCTGGGAGTGTTGAACAAATACAAATGTATCTGAACAGGGATCGGCTATCGATAGATTGTACAGTGAGGAATGCAAATGTCACTATCTCGATGAGGTTCCCAATTTGCCTTGCCTGCCTCAGCATTCAAACATAAAAAATGCCAATACTCTTGACAACGGGTCATAATGAGGATCCGTTACTCCCGCTCATGAACAGATATGCTCATTGCGTGAGCCCTTGAGGAACATTTTCAAATGGTTAAGGACAGGCACCTGACAAACAAATCTGTGTTACAGATCTGGATATTTAGTGTAGCCCGTTTTAATTCACGAAGACAAGTCATGTTCATGTTAACACCTAATCAGTTAAGATTAGAAGCCACGAGAGACTTTGCCTGTTGTAGCATCGGGACACAAAGATATACATATGATGAGTGATGTAGACAAGAATAGAAAAGAACACTAGAAAAAGAGGACTAGAAGGGGAAAAAGGAAGGGGAAGAGAGAAAAACGGAACGAGAAGGAGAATACTGAAAAGAGGACGAGAAGGGGAAAAAGAAAGGAAAAAAAAAGAAAAATAGGTGGAGAAGAGGAAGAGAGAAAAAGAGGAGGAGAAGCGAAGGGGGAAGAGGAGGAGAAGGGGAAGAGAAAAAGAGGAGGAGAAGGGGGAGAGAAAAAGAGGACTAGAAGAGGTGGGAGAGAGAAAAAGAGAACGAGAAAAGGAAGAGAGAAAAAGTGAACGAAAAGAAGAAAGAGAAAAAGAAGCCCATCTTAATTCCCCCCCAACAAAAAAAAGAACTTCGAACAATCGTATGAATGCATGTGCACATTTCACTCTGACGCATGCTCTTATATACACAATCTAAGGTACACATCCCAACTAACAAATTCACCTGGCGGCAGATTCCTCAAAAACAGTTTTTTTCCTTTTCTCTCTTTTCTTTTTTTCGTCCTCTTTTTCCACTAGTTCCTCCCCATTTTCTCTCTTCTTCATTCTCGTCCCCATTTTCTCTCTTCTTCATTCTCGTCCCCATTTTCTCTCTTCTTCATTCTCGTCCTCATTTTCTCTCTTCTTCCTCTTCATTCTCGTCCCTTCCATTTCCCTTTTCTTCTTCATTCTCGTCCTCATTTTCTCTCTTTTCTTCCTCTTTCGTCTTCTATTTTTAATTTCTCTCTTGTTCATTCTTCCACTAGTTCCTCATTTCTCTCTTCTTCCTTTGTGCTCGTCCTCATTTCTCTCTCTCTTCTTTCTCGTCCTCATTTCTCTCTTCTACATTCTCGTCCCCATTTTCTCTCTTCTTCATTCTCGTCCCCATTTTCTCTCTTCTTCATTCTCGTCCCCATTTTCTCTCTTGTTCATTCTCGTCCTCATTTTCTCTCTTCTTCCTCTTGTGCTCTTTTACACTCTCTTCTTCCACTAGTTCTCATTTTCTCTCTTCTTCTTTCTCGTCCTCATTTTCTCTCTTCTTCCTCTCGTCCTCATTTTTTCCTCTCTCTTCTTCCTCTCGTCCTTATTTTCTCTCTTCTTCCTCTCGTCCTCATTTTCTCTCGTCATCATTCTCGTCCTCATTTTCTCCTTCTTCATTCTCGTCCCCATTTTCTCTCTTCTTCCTCTCGTCCTTATTTTCTCTCTTCTTCCTCTTGTGCTCTTTTTACACTCTCTTCTTCCACTAGTTCTCATTTTCTCTCTTCTTCTTTCTCGTCCTCATTTTCTCTCTCTTCTTCCTCTCGTCCTTATTTTCTCACTTCTTCCTCTCGTCCTTATTTTCTCACTTCTTCCTCTCGTCCTTATTTTCTCTCTTCCTTATTTTCTCTCTTCTTCCTCTCGTCCTCATTTTCTCTCTTCTTCCTCTCGTCCTTATTTTCTCTCTTCTTCCTCTCGTCCTCATTTTCTCTCGTCATCATTCTCGTCCTCATTTTCTCTCTTCTTCATTCTCGTCCACATTTTCTCTCTTCTTCCTCTCGTCCTTATTTTCTCTCTTCTTCCTCTTGTGCTCTTTTACACTCTCTTCTTCCACTAGTCCTCATTTTCTCTCCTCTTCATTCTCGTCCTCATTTTCTCTCGTCTTCTTTCTAGTCCTCATTTTCTTTCGTCTTCTATTCTCGTCCTCAATTTCTCTCTTGTTCATTCTCGTCCCCATTTTCTCTCTTGTTCATTCTCGTCCTCATTTTCTCTCTTCTTCCTCTTGTGCTCTTTTACACTCTCTTCTTCCACTAGTTCTCATTTTCTCTCTTCTTCTTTCTCGTCCTCATTTTCTCTCTTCTTCCTCTCGTCCTTATTTTCTCTCTTCTTTCTCTCGTCCTTATTTTCTCTCTTCTTCCTCTCGTCCTCATTTTCTCTCGTCATCATTCTCGTCCTCATTTTCTCTCTTCTTCCTCTCGTCCTTATTTTCTCTCTTCTTCCTCTCGTCCTTATTTTCTCTCTTCTTCCTCTCGTCCTTATTTCTCTCGTCATCATTCTCGTCCTCATTTTCTCTCGTCATCATTCTCGTCCTCATTTTCTCTCTTCTTCCTCTCGTCCTTATTTTCTCTCTTCTTCCTCTTGTGCTCTTTTACACTCTCTTCTTCCACTAGTCCTCATTTTCTCTCCTCTTCATTCTCGTCCCCATTTTCTCTCTTCTTCATTCTCGTCCTCATTTTCTCTCTTCTTCATTCTCGTCCCCATTTTCTCTCTTCTTCCTCTTGTGCTTTTTACACTCTCTTCTTCCACTAGTTCCCATTTTCTCTCTTCTTCTTTCTCGTCCTCATTTTCTCTCTTCTTCCTCTTGTCCTCATTTTCTCTCTTCTTCCTCTCGTCCTTATTTTCTCTCTTCTTCCTCTCGTCCTCTCATTTCTCTCGTCATCATTCTCGTCCTCATTTTCTCTCTCCTTCATTCTCGTCCTCATTTTCTCTCTTCTTCCTCTCGTCCTTATTTTCTCTCTTCTTCCTCTTGTGCTCTTTTACACTCTCTTCTTCCACTAGTCCTCATTTTCTCTCCTCTTCATTCTCCTCCTCATTTTCTCTCTTCTTCATTCTCGTCCCCATTTTCTCTCTTCTTCACTGTCGTCCTCATTTTCTCTCTTCTTCCTCTTGTGCTCTTTTACTGTCTCTTCTTTCACTAGTCCTCATTTTCTCTCCTCTTCATTCTCGTCCACATTTTCTCTCTTCTTTTCTCGTCCTCATTTTCTCTCTTCTTCATTCTCGTCCCCATTTTCTCTCTTCTTCTTTCTCGTCCTCATTTTCTCTCGTCTTCTTTCTCGTCCTCCTTTTCTCTCTTCTTCATTCTCGTCCTCATTTTCTCTCTTCTTCCTCTCGTCCTCATTTTCTCTCTTCTTCCTATCGTCCTCATTTTCTTTCTTCTTCCTCTTGTGCTCTTTTACTCTCTCTTCTTTCACTAGTCCTCATTTTCTCTCTTCTTCATTCTCGTCCCCATTTTCTCTCTTCTTCATTCTCGTCCACATTTTCTCTCTTCTTTTCTCGTCCTCATTTTCTCTCTTCTTCCTCTTGTGCTCTTTTACTCTCTCTTCTTCCACTAGTCCTCATTTTATCTCTTCTTCATTCTCGTCCTCTTTTTCTCTCGTCTTCTTTCTCGTCCCCATTTTATCTCTTTTTCATTCTCGTCCTCTTTTTCTCTCGTCTTCTTTCTCGTCCTCCTTTTCTCTCTTCTTCATTCTCGTCCTCCTTTTCTCTCTTCTTCATTCTCGTCCTCCCTTTCTCTCTTCTTCATTCTCGTCCTCCTTTTCTCTCATCTTCATTCTCGTCCTCCTTTTCTCTCTTCTTCATTCTCGTCCTCCTTTTCTCTCTTCTTCATCTCGTCCTCCTTTTCTCTCATCTTCATTCTCGTCCTCCTTTTCTCTCTTCTTCATTCTCGTCCTCCTTTTCTCTCTTCTTCATTCTCGTCCTCCTTTTCTCTCGTCTTCATTCTCGTCCTCCTTTTCTCTCTTCTTCATTCTCGTCCTCCTTTTCTCTCGTCTTCATTCTCGTCCTCCTTTTCTCTCGTCTTCATTCTCGTGCTCTTTTTCTGTCTTCTTCCTCTCGCACTCTCACTCTCTCTCTCTCTCTTGTCTTCTTCTCGCCCTTTCCTTCTTCTCCCACTCGTCTTCTCTTTGACTTTCTTCTTCCTCTTTTACCACACTTTCGTTTTCCTCTCGCACTCTCTTTCTCTTCCCTTAGCACTCTCTTTGTCTTTCTCTCGTTTTCTCTTTCTCTCGTTTTCTCTTTCTCCCATTTTCACTTTCTCCCATTTTCACTTTCTCTTTTCTTCATCTCATCTTCTCTTTCTTCTTCCCCATTACATCAAACCTCGCTTATTTCTTCCTATTTGATATTAACAATGACATAAATTCTCTGTCGCGGTAAGAGACGGCTGGGTGTTTGTCAGCGATGAAACATCCTGTAAACTCTAGACGACGAGATTTTCCCTCTGAATTTTTCTGCTTGTAACAAAACCCAACATAGGCAAGCGTGATTACCATAACACATTTTTCAAATCTCTTAAACATTGCACAGTAGGACATCGACTGTTGGTAGGGACCTAATATGGCGGTGGAAGAAGGTAATTTCCTTACTTCCTTACAGACAGTAAAAAAAAAAACAACAACAAATTTTGCTTTTTACCGCAAATCATTCAGTACCGAACCGTTTTCTACATGATCATCTAATTAGTACATAAAAAAAATAAACGAATGCATTTCGAATAATACTATATATCCGGGGGAGGTGAACGTAGCCTCGTTTTAGTTAGAGCTCTTTGGAACGAGGTCTAATTTTACAAGCGCATAATTGTAGTGATTGATATGTTTTGTTTTTTTCTTCTAAGCGTGGGTATGAGCACCAGAGAAAATATTTTGTGATTTATTTCTCTCGAGGATTTTTTTTTCTCCAGATTTTGAAGAACTTGACCTAGTTGACTGGTTTTTGTTTCGCAGCATATCAACACCTTTATGGGTTATTTAATACCGAAATCTAAATATTTTGTAAACAATTTTATTTTATTTTTATTTATTATTTTTTTTTAGGAAATAAAGGGTTACTGATTGTTATATAGGAATAAAGTGTCTCTGCCGACACTGGAGTTTGAACACAAATCCCCAGAGAGCAAACACAGGCGATCCTATTTTGTAGATCACATGATGGTAAAGGAAAAGTATATATGGGAATTAGCGTGGCGACTAAGTGATCACGATCCGGATTACTTCAGAAGTATGCTTGTCAAACTCACTGTCTCATCTGGGGTGGTAGACAGCTATCTGACTCCATTTTTACGGGCTGTACGGGGAAATTTTGCTCGAGCTTACGGGCACGGATACCCTACAATAAACTTGGCCTTGTGTCGCATCCGACCACGTAGGCTGGTTAGTGAATATCATCACTATCCGGATTACTTCGGAAGTGTGCTTGTCAAACTCACTATCTTCGGGCAGAGAGGAACCCAGACGAGGCTGTGCCGAAAGGCAGTTTCATCTGGAGTGGTAGACAGCTACCCGAACCCGTTTTTAAGGGGTCTACGGGGAATTTTTGGCCGAGCTTGCGGGCTTGGATACCCCGCAATAAACTTGGCCTTGAGCCGCATCCGACCGCGTGGGGTGGTTAGTGAATATCTCACTCTACGGATTACTTCGGAAGTATGCTAGTCATACTCTCTGCCTCCGGGCAGAGATGATCCCCAGACGAGGTTATGTCGAAAGGTAGAGTCTCGTTTCGGGAGGCAACTAACCGACCCCATTTTTTACGGGGTCTACGCGGAATTTTTGGCCGAGCCTACGGGCTCGGATACCCCTCAATAAACTAGGCTTTGTGTCACATCCCACCGCGTGGAGCGGTTAGTGAATATCTCACTATACGGATTAGTATTCGGATCACTATTTGGTGGTGACTTTTCGAGCGAGTATTATCGAGCAAGTACTATTAGTGCGAGTGATATTCGAAGGCGTATCGTACAACGGCGTTACTATAGTTGTATCTGCGATTACAAAGTCTCTACTGCAACGTGTATTACCAAAGTGACAACGAGTATTCGACGTTAATTTCACCTGGACTGGAAACCATGTGAAGAACTCATTTGGCCGAGACAGCAGATTCCCATTGGAATAAGAAAGATAGAGTCAACCTGATGACTGCAGCAAGGGAGATGGCAAATTCTGGAAAACTACCCTTTAAAATGTCATCTGTGGGTTAGAATTAACTATTAAGTAAAATAAGCAAGTACTAGTCCCCCTCACAACCACTACCCCCAGTCCTGGGTAAGGCGATAAATTACATCCGGCAGCAAAGTCTCCGATCGGGAAATAGGAAGTTTTGAAAAGCGTAGGACCACCTCTTAATAGCTGTTGTTCCAAGGTCCTCCCTGATCCGGGTGGTAGCACCTGTTATGATCCAAGCTATGGGTAAATAGTGAATCCACCCCAAAGGTGGAAGGGATGGTTCCTTGTGATGAGTAATAGAGAGTAGTTTTGTTTTAGAGGCATTAAAGTTAAACAACCAATTCCTGCCCCAGTCTACAACCGATTGGAGGTCCTTTTTGAGACTAGGTTAGTTCTGTCAGCGATACCAGACTTGCTATTGCGGCAGGAGTAAATAGTAGTGTCGTCAGCATAGATGCCTACTTGGGAACTGATGACAGAGAAATCGTTAATGAAGATAAGGAACAGAGTAGGGCCCAGGATATAGCTTTGGGGAACACCTGCGTTCGTGGGAAAGGAACTGGGAGAGAATCTGTTAAGGACGACCTTCATTACACGATTTGAGAGGAAGGATCGTATTAAGTCAAATAATCGACCTGAAATTCCGTATCCCTTAAGCTTACAAAGAAGGCTGGCATGCCAAACCCTATCGAACGCTTTAGAGATATCTAGAGCCACGAAACGAGCTTCTGTTATTGTGGAGTGCTTGGTAAGCAATTTCAATTATGGCCGTGAGCACATCACCTATAGAACGGGAAAAGCGAAAACCATGTTGCTTTTCAGAGAACAGATCATAGGATGTAAGGTGCTTAACCACTTCAGCGTTGGAGATTTATAGGACGGTAGTTAGATGGGTCAGAAGGGTCTCCAGAGTTCTTAAAAACAGGTACAATAGATGAAGACTTCCAACAGGCTGGAAAGCAAGATTCATTGAGGCAGTAGTTACATAATTTGGAGGGCAGGTTTCAGTTGAGGAGTACATTTCTTCAGGACAATGGCTGGAAATGTACTCCTGAACTGAACCTGCCCTCTCCAAATTATGTAACTACCGCCTCAATGAATAAAGTAAATAATGAACAAATTAGCAAAGCATTGACAAAAATATTAGTTAGACTATAAAAATCAAACCAAAAATCGGACAAAAAAATAGCTATAACTGTTATATAGCGATAAAAGAAAAAACAATACTACGTTACTTAAAAATCGAAAACCGAAAAGAGAAAATATGCAGTATAACAAATAATATCAATTAAAATAAATTGAGCTAAATTCATCCAAATAAATAAATAAACAAACCGATCCCGATAAACTAACCGTTAAAAACAAATAAAGATAATCAATCCAAATCAATACATAAAGTAATAAACAAATTAAAAACTGTTCCCGACAAAATAATACCTAGAATAAGCTATAACGATCAACCCCAAAATTGAATAAATAGCTTTAACTATCTTCCCAAGCCAAAACAAAACTATTAATTAAGCGACATAAACAAATTTTTACTACGTTAATAAAAACACCGATTAAAATAAAAAATATATATAAGATAAAAAAAAATTAAAAAAGAAAATAAAAAAATAAAAATAACAAGCAAAATAATTTAACCCAAATAAATCAACGACTTCTGATAAAATAACCGCCAAAATATACAACCCACAATGCACCACTGACCCGTATATATAAATACTTTTTATGTTTATACGTTCTTTTTATATATACAAATATTTAAGTAAATGCTCTGTTTATAATAAACTGTATTAACGACATTTACCGGTCTGAATGTCCGAGAAATTTTCATAGAAAATATGCGTCCTCCGACAGGAATCAATGTCGATTTTAATGTTTTTAAACTTACAATATTCCATGATTTTCTCTTGTACATTCATACCTGCTCGATGCGTATCCAAATGTAAACAAATGACGTCACACATTATGAAAAGGACAAAGTCGGACAATTATTTTTAAGACATTTTTTATGTTTATATATTACTAATATGTATATATGTTTAAATATTTGTATCTATAAAAAGAACGTATAAACATAAAAATGTCTTAAAAATAATTGTCGGACTTTGTCCATTTCATAATGTGTGACGTCATTTCAACACAAATCGATTTTTCGTTTAACGCAGTGGCGTAGAAATAATAAAAATGAGGTATTGTTGATCTCGTCATGATGTAAGTAACCTTCATACCGAGTTTGAACGAAATTGGAGGAAAAAAAATTGAATTATTGATTTCTCGCTAAGAATCTCTTTCATTGTACAATGTATGTGCCAAGTTTGGTCAAAATCGGTTGGATGGATCTCGAGTGAAAAGGTATCAAACAGACGCACAGACATCCTCTGTTGTGATATATATATATATATATATATATATATATATATATATATATATATATATATATATATATATATAGAGACTGATTGAGATAGGTGCCCACCGCTCGTGGTTTTTATTAAGATTGTCTCGCAGGCAAATTCGTTTTTGCAATGTATTCGGCCGTTAATACGTATCTTCCGACTGTAGGCTTGGATCGGAGGAAGTTATTTCGTAGATAATGGGTGTGCTTTCCTATGTGGCTGTTTGATGATGCTTAGAATACAGATTATTCTGTTTTGAACAAGAAACCTAACTCTGCTCGACTGGTCTAAATTAATTGATATGTCCAAATTTCGTTGATCCAAGTCGGTCAGTTTATATAGTCTTGTATGGTTAGATCCCAGACGCTTGCATAGTTCACAGTTGATCACCTCTTCTGTCTAGTCATGCGCATTGTCGCACTCATTCAAAATCCAACTGAATGCATTCGTTTGGTATGGATGTTTTTTCTCATCAGCTCAGCACTTTCGACATTTTCTGCTGAGTTTTCGTTTTTCTCACTCCTAATGTTGCCAGTTTTAATGCACTTGTTTACGGTTGCTGCTAATATGAATTCTGTTTCTCTTTTCAAGTGTTCTTTGCATAGCCATTTCCATGTCCTGTCATCTGCGTCTTGAATTTACATGGTTGTTGTTGTTTTTCTCTGCATTTCTATTTATTATTATTGTTATTAGTAGTAGTATTTGCAGAAGCAGCAGCTGGCTTGTGTTTTTTGACAAGGGCAGTCAGGACCTGTTAGCCTAACCACCTGCCCCTCACTGTTGACTAAATAAATGAAAGCGAATAATTCCAAACAGGTTCTTATATGATTAATTCGTCTGACCCTCTTGGAAATCATTTGGTATTCACTTACAAGCTGTTCTCGCTCAGCAAATCTTTAATTATCTCCGGGAACGATGATGAACCGAACAGACGAAATACGTGTTTCAGATTCATACCCGGAAAACATTTCTTACCGTTCGTAAGTTGTTTTTTCTTCTTTTTTTTTTTTCCTGGGGCCATGACTCTGGGTGAAGCGCGTTAGTGTGAGTCCCTGCTTTCTTTCTTCTCTGCCTGTACCACCGTTCAGCTATTGCCACCAAAAAAAAGAAGGGTACAGTCACCAAGTGGAGATCAAGATGGGAAGGCCGTCAGTCTCTTTTACACGATTCTTATCCTTTTTGAATTATTTTATTTTATGTTATTTTTTTGCTGGGTATGATGTGGGTGTGTTTATCCTCTTGGGGCGGCGCATAGTTGATAGGGTGCTGAAGGTGCTCATTTTGTTGAAAGAGAAAAGGAAGAAAAATAAAATGAAAAATAGGAATCTCTATCTTTTCCCTTTTACTTTTTCCGTTTTCTTTTTTCCTTTTTTTTCTTTTTTTATTTTTTCGCATTTTCCTTTTTTCCTTTATTTTATTTTCCCTTTTCCTCGTCCTTTTTCTTTCTTTTTTCTTCGTTCTTTCATTTTTCTTTTTTTTTCTTTTTCTTTCTTTCTTTTTTCTTTGTTCTTTCATTTTTCCTTCGTTTTTCTTTTTTCTTTCTTTCTTTTTTCTTTGTTCTTTCATTTTTCCTTCGTTTTTCTTTTTTCTTTCTTTTTACCTTCATTTTTCTTTCTTTCTTTTTACCTTCATTTTTCTTTCTTTCTTTTTTCTTCGTTTTTCTTTTTTCTTTCTTTCTTATTCCTTCATTTTCTTTTTTTTTCTTTTTTCTTCATTTTTCTTTTTTTTTTCTTATTCCTTTCTTTTCTCGTTCTTTTCTATTTTTTGTCTTCTCATTTCTCTTCTCTTTCTTTTCGCTTGCTTCTCTTTGTCGCTTTTTCAATTTTGATTCTTTTCCTTTTTTCTTCCTAAAAACAAATGCATGGTATTCCTTCCAATTCATTAAACAAAAACAAAAAAAAAACAACGAGGTCGAATTTCTGGAAAAAAAATGGCCAGGGAGAGGGATATTATATGATTCAGGAGATCTTTACTTTTGGAGAGTTTATAAAGCTACATTAACACCCACCGCTCACCATGATCTTTCTCGACCCTCGCCAAATTTCCCTGGCCTCAGCGCAAACATATATCGCTTCTTGTGCTTTACACCTAATTTATCATTTTTTTTTCTTTACTTTTGTTGAAACTGGATATTTAGCTACAGAGATGAAATATTTCTCATCTGTTTCTCTGACCTACGACGGAAATAGCCATGCATCTTGTTCAAGCGAAGAGGCCTGACTTGAAACCTTGTTTTAATTAGCTAATTATACCGCGAGGTAATTTGTTGCATTTCTTTCTTTTATTTTATTTTCCCCCTTTTTTTTTGTAATGACAGAAAGGGGGAAAAGAGAAACGGGCCCGCCGTTAGTGTGTACCTAGGTTTTTATTCATTTCCGGGAACCCTGGACATCTATACAAACCCTGAAGTGCAGAAATACGAATAAAAACACTGTTTTAAATAAAACATTTAAAGAACAGCGTCCATTGTTTCTCAGCTCGCCTACTTCCATCAAACTTTCCCCGACTCGTCTCTGAACACGTGATTTCTTTCACACAAAAAAAAAAATACTTGGGCTAAGGAAAGGTCCGTTCCGACGATTTTATTGACAGTGTAAAAAAGGAGAAAAATCCCTGAAACCTGACAATAATCATTTTGTGTGTGAGAGAGAGAGAGAGAAGTTCTGGTGGCGGGGACAGAATTAATAAAATCTGCATTATCGTCCATGTTTTAATTTCTTCTTCAATTTCTTCATCAAAGGTGGGTTTTTTAAATAACATTTTGTTCCGACTGAACGACAACGACACATCACCTCTCTTTATTAAAACAAAAACAATATTACATTTTTTTTTTAAATGCTGTATTTTTTAAAATTTATTTTGCCATTTTTTAGTTAAAGTATTTTTATTCGACGTGTAACGCCTTAGTTTTCCCACACTGCCGCTTAATTTCTTTTAAATCCTCAATTAGTTTAAAAATCTTTATTTTGCTTTTCTATTTGAAAGTATTTTATTTAATGATTACAGTCACCTCGTTCACACTTTGTTTTATCAAATTGAAAAACTATCTTATTAAAAAAAGAAAAAAAAAGATAGTTACAAGCTGAAGTTTAAAAAATAAATCACCAATAAGTTAAAATTTATTAAAATTTCAGATATCACCTTTCGTGTTTTAATTTCTCAAACCATGATTCACCATTTTTTTTTCTCCAAAGAATATTGGCTTTGAACAGTCATTCGAAAGTCAATTTTAAATCCACAGCGTGACATTCTGATTTCTATTAAAACACAAAGATTAATATTTTTTTTTATTGAGTTACACTAACTACATTGTTCATACTGTTCTCCTCATCTTCGTTGCCATATTCACGACGTTTCAGCCGTTGTACGCTCCGGCCTTCTTCAGGTGATTGAAATTTTGAACTGAATCCTTCGTCCACCGGGATAGATTGTTCTAGCTTCACGTGCCATGCCTCTTTCGAATGTCTCAGTTATCTCAACTGTCCAAGTTTTTGTTCACCACTGCAGTAGCCAGGTATTGAAATCACAACTGTTTGTGTCAAATCACTGGATCCAGCCAACGCTTTTATCCACTGGGCCATGTGTTCCAATGCAGTGCAGACAGTGAAAACAGAGCGTGCAATAACTGATCAGAAGTAAATAAATAACAAATGAAATATACTGAAACATGCACAGCAGAACGCGAACAATCTACTCCTATAGATTAAATAAAGGATTCAGTTCCAAATTGGCGGAAGGTTACCCGAAAGGTTAACTGAGAAGGCAGGAGAGTGATAAATACGACAAAGGTGAGGACAGTATTTCGAATGAAAATAATATTAAAAAAAAATCTCCCGTATTCAACACTCCCCCAAGCTTACCGGATACAACAAGCGCATTAAAACTGACAAAAACGTTCTGACTGCAACAACAAACATGAAGATACTAGTTCAGTATATAATAAGCTAAGCAACTAATTTGAATAATGGCATGTTGATAGCTGGGTTGCCTGGACGTTTCTTACTGGCATTTATTGCCAATCTCTGAGGCCAGCCAAATGCAAGTATTTCGCGAGGTAATTGTCAAAGCAGGCTTTATTGGGATCACAGAGTAGCACTTTTTAATACTGACCAAGTGTTACGAAACAGCGATAAATATGACAAACGCATTGAAGAAAGTGAGAAAGAAATTTGCAAGCAGTATCTCACAGCACACATATAAATTGAGTTTTTTACGGCTTATCAACCCTTTGTGTTTTTTTTATTTTTATTTTTTTAGTCAAAACAGACTTACAGCTATATCATGTTGAAACACCGGTTCTCGTACGATCACCGAAAGTTAAGCAACGTCAATCCTGGTCAGTACTTAGATTGGGTGACCACTTGGAAATGCCAAGTACTGTAAGCTTGTATATGTGTGGTGTGTGCTAGATAACGGATCGGAATTAGAAATCGGTTGGCTGTGTTGCAGTTCCAGTCAGGTTATCGCAAATATCCTTGAGAAAGGCATGAAACCGTCTCTTCTCGTCCCCTCCTAGATATAAGTTAATTGGTAGGATTAGTATCAGAATATCATTATTATTTCCAAATAAATCTTAAATTCTAAAAACATTTTCTGGCTTTAAATAACCTGCAAAACGTTGATGAACCGTCAAAATTAATCAGTTCAAGCCGAAATATACATGGAACTGCAAGAATAATTCATTTTTATTTTGTAAGTGAATAATGCATTAAGAATTTTTTTCCTAAGATAACAAAGATTGTTCCAGATACAAGTCTTACTATTTAACCTATAGCTGGGAGCGGAGATTAATTTATACCTTACCCAACAGTATTTGCTCATATCTGAATGCTATAAACCCGACTAGCATTCCAACTCGGCTCTCCGATTTCACAATCCGAGCCGCTATCAGTTACACCACCTGCACACACAACACATAAAAATGTAGTGGTGTTACTTCGATGTGGTATAATGGTTAAGCAAATTTGTCTCGCTAGATCAATTCCGACTGAATAGTGAATTCGATCCTCCATATTTTCGGCCTTGAGCCACATTTTAACTGAGCTAAGTAAATCGCTATAAAAGTGTTAACAACCTGATGTTAAAAGTCCTGATTATTGAGTTTGATCCTCACGCAGCGTTAATGACTTTTATCCAGAATTGCTTTAGAGTTCAAGTGAATTATATTTGGCTCTAATTGCGGCATCAAATTAACGAAGATTGCAATTCGTAAGATTCTATTCTGCTTGCATATTGCTCCCTCTAGCGGTAGTAGCCAGCAAAACAGTAACTGGCACGGCGGGATGCGATCGAAGAACGACATGTCTCTTCATCTGTGGGTCGCAAGTACATTCACCTTCCGGCAAAATTATCTCTCACCTGAAGGCTGTATGCTATCAGGTAAAAACATGGTTTCAGAAATTCTAATTAAAATCTCATACACGTCTTTCATTCATTCATTCATTTAATGAAACAATTATACTGTTTTTTTTTTCTTTCTCTTTTTATTCTTTCTTTCGGGGGAAAGCCATTGCCCATACGTAAAAGAATTTTTCCCCCACTCTTATTTCTGTTTAATTTATTTATTTATTTATTATTATTATTTTTTTTGTTGAGTGAAAATAAACAAGACAATATCGGAGTAAAATTAAAGATAAACAGATAAAAAAATAATAAAAATTTAAATTTAAATTTTTTTTTTTGTTCATTTTTGTGGAAAAGAGTAATGTCTGAGAATCATTCCTTTCTCCCTGGAGCCTATCTTTCTTGATTAGGAGGGAATTTAATTGCAATCATAGTTTTGAACACTTTGCCGAGGACAGATCAGTTTGAAAAGAAACAAAATAAGTGTTTAAAATAAGTAAAAGATGATTGCGTCAGACCGCGTGCTCACTTGTACGTAATCACCTTTCTCTATGAAAACGGATGCTTTATATATATATATATATATAAAAGTGAACATTTAAGTCAACACTTAGAGGCGACAGGCTGTTTCATGCTAGACGCAATCATCAGGCTATATATATATATATATAATATAAGTGGTCAATGTAGCCGTCTCTTCTACTCCATGTCTCGCACCACTCGCCTGTGGAACTCCCTCCCCTCTTCCTGTTTCCCTGATAGCTATAATCTCCAACTATTCAAATGTAATGTCAATCGATGTCTCCAGTTGCCTTGATCTATCCCCTATCCTTCTCTTCATCTTTTCCTCTATCACTCCTATTTGCTCTAGTTCCAACTGTCTGTAACCCATTGCATGCTAGTGGCTTCCCGCCTTGCTTGGGGTGAAATGCTTAATATATATATATATATATATATATATATATATATATATATATATATATATATATATATATATAAATTTCTAAGAGGATAGAATCTAGATAGAGCTCAATGTCTAGGACAGAGCAAGAATATAATTTAAAAGGCTCAAACACTAATATTCCATAGTTATAATTTATTATAGTGAAATCGTAATCATGATTCAATTCATCAGACCTCCAAATTAAAAAAGAAATCGGAAATTTCGATTCCAATGTAATAAATTATAACATAGTGTTTGAGTCATATATATATTAGTCCTCTTCTTCTCCCCGCCCCAGCTATTGGCAAATAGCAGGATAGACTGGGTCCTATAGCCTTAGGAACTGAGCCGCCTCATACGTCGAATACGTCATACATATATATATATATATATATATATATATATATATATATATATATATATATATATAGGAATCGTATTAATCATCTTCTTCCGCTATGGGTAAATAGCATGACAGATTGGGTTCTATAGCCTTGGATGGCAACTAGTCTAGGAGAAAGACAACTCTGAATTCAAAACCTGCAGAGGGTCGTTTGGGGACCTTGTGGCACGTAGTGCACCAGGTCTCTGCATTCGGCCCTTCAAAAAGTGAGGATGGTCCTGCACGAAACCTTCACCACTATAATCAAATCATATGGGCTGGTGTCTGGGCTGCCGGTTTCTCCATGACCCTCATACGTCGAATATCTGATAGGTACCACCACTGATTTACGGTACCTTGGTTTAAAATTAATTTTTTAAATGAAAAAAAGTTTTCTTGAAGCTTTCATATTAGTTTTAATTGAAAGGTAAAGGATTAAATTAGTATTTCCAGTAAGCAAAATATTCTGCTTCGTTTCATGCAGATATTATATTGATTGAAATGGCTATTTTTTTTTAAATAACTGAATAGAGCTCTTTTTTAGTTGTCTAGTGTAAATCTATCATCAAAAGTATAGCCACAGACCGCGCGCGGAGACATCTTTTGTGGAAGACAACCATTAACATTGCATTTAAATTTTTGAAGATTAAAGTTACCTGGAAAGTAGGAAAACGGAAGAGAGTTGCACACGTGAGAAGTATGAGAGAAGGAACTGTTAACATAGAACTTTCGATTACATCTACCCAACTGAACTCTATATTGATGAGACCTTGTAGCCATTTCAACTGTAAAATGATCAGACATTACCTCCAATCTGTTCTTGAATTCATAAAGTCTAAGTACCATAGCGAAGAGCGATATTTATTCTGATCGGTACAGAAATCTGACACAAAGCCGGAACGGGAAAAAGGACGGTCTTGTTCTGTCTTAACGTTAAACTTAGCTAACCACAAACACTGACCCAAACATACAACAATATTCCTTACACCACAACAACGCATTCTTACTTACCTTTCTTACGACATTCACCATAATACCTCATTGTCTCTATGAAAATCCTGTTTACAAGAAAATAAACGAAATAATGTACCATAGCGAAGAGCTCGGAATTACCATGAAAATAAAAAATGTACAGGAAGCTACATTATGGCGGTGGAAAAATGACTGAAGCCGAGATGCCAGGTGAATACCAATAATATTGTGGATTCCTTTTTGGATTTTATCAAGAATCTCTAAACCTCCAGACCATATGTGGTGTTAATATTCAATGCATGGACGAATGGGTAGAACTTTTTCAAAACATCAGGAATTAGAATATTTTTCACTCGAAGGTAAGAAATATTGAAGCACTTATAAAAAAAAACAAAAAACAAAGGACTTGAGTTTAAAACGACTTCGTGTTTCAGACGCTAAACACAGGCAATTAATTACATTTCTTTTTTGAAGATGAACTATACTATCCATTAAAATGTTAATGTTGTATTCACATAAATTATCGTAATATTTTGCGATTTAAAATTACATGTACCAATGAACACTATTTATCTTGCGATATAAATATGTCGGTGTCGTTTACGTATCTCTTTTGTATAAATTGTCGAATCGTTTGAAGTTTTCGAATTGTATACTTTGTCAACAAACGGAGGAATATGTAATAACAACCTCACAACATGGGAAATACCATCGCTTTATTTTCAAGAGGGGTAAAAAACGTACATAATTTCTCCAACCTCTTTTTCCTTCTTATCTGTCCAAAAAATGTCATCTGTCTCTTTCTGGTTCTACATATAATTATATTGTTTGATTCCCTTTTCCTTAAAACTTCCTCGTTATTCACATGTTTAGTCCATGTTATTTTTGGCATGTTCTTGTAGAACTACATTTCTGTAGCTTCAATTCTTTCCTGCATTCATTGCTATATATTATGAACAATATTATATAATAGTTTAACACTGTTTTGTTTCTTTGTTTCTAACTACATTTTCCTGTATCTTAATACTTTACTTAGCTTTTGAAAGGCAACTTTCACTATTCGAATGTGACTTCGGATTTCAGTGTCACATTTTCCCTCCTCTGTTAAAACGCTTCCCAGATATTTACCGTATTTTCTTGTGTATGAAATGACTTGAGTATAATATTCGCCGCTAAAAACAAGAAATAAATTAAATCCTTCATTGTAATCCGACCTTGTGTTACAACTTTTTCCCCTATAGTGTTTTTTTTTTAAAGATTTACAATATTATCCATTAAAATCACAATGTTGTATCCACATAAACCATGATATTCTGCAATTTAAAATTACAAGTACCAGTGTATACTATTTATATAGTAATATAATTATGTTGGGTTGTTCATGTACCTGTTTTGAACTGTTTTTTTCTTCTTGAATTGTTTGAAGTTTTCCAATTGTATACTTTGTCAACAAACAGAGGAATATGAAACAACAACCTCAAAGCATGGGAATTCTCGCTTCATTCTCATGCCTTTTGGCTTGGACAAAGGTGTAGTGTCTGTTCTCTCCTTATTTTAAGCAGAACAAGGTGTCCGGCTACAGAGATACTAACATTGCCGCAGCACCTTCCTCGTTGCGTTTAACTAGGTGTAATATCGGTGCCACGGTGACAGTAGTTATGGGGACCAGGAAATATTTTGTCCTTGTTCCGTATGCATATTCGTGTGTATGGGCACCCCACATTAAAAAGGACCTTGTATCCCATATTGTCCTAGTGGAGAGACCGGGCGAATAAGTGCCCCATTTTTCAACCAGAATAAAATATATAATTTATACAATAATTGGGCCTTTGTTGCAATATTATCAAAACATGACAGATTTTGTGTATTCTCTTTATTAATTATTTTAATTAATTTAGGTGACTTTCCTTTCTTTGAGACAAATTAGACTGATTCCCCACCAAAAATGTAGCCAAAATATGAAATATCATTTGTATCCAATTGTTATCAACAATTACCGAATCTCTGTTTTATTATCTGTTGTGCTGAGAGTATTTGGGATTTTGCTGTTTTAAATAAGTTTTTTTTTAAGCTATCTAAAAATTTCTGAAAATCTTTCCTTGTGTATATTACGAGCCCCCCTTTTGGCTTGGATTTTCGTTCAAAATTTCTCCTTTTATGCACGAGAACATACGGTAAATCAATATTAGTATAAAAAAAAAACAACTTTAGAACTCTCCACTATGTGAGGTAAGAAATTTGGACATATCACTAAAATCATCACTCTCCTACTTCTACCAGACAAATGAATAAGGTAAATTTCTTCACCCTCGTTACGGATTGTACAGAAGCGAGTTAGCCCATCAGAATATACAACTTGTATCATTAATGATTGCAAGTGACGTGAAATTGCATATTTCATTGGCTAACATTAACCTGTAGTTGCAAACGACCATGTCACCTATAGCATAACTGTAAGAAAATGTGTGCGCATATATATATATATATATATATATATATATATATATATTGAGTTCGCTTGTGCTTGTTTGTTTGTTGAAATGGTTTGTTTTTCTAGTAATTTATCGATGATGGATTTTGCTGCGGGCAATGCAGACTGAAAATTATTATAAGAAATCAACTCAAGCTTGATTGTTTTTTTTCTTTTCCTTTTTCAGTTAATTTTTTTTCTATTTCTGTCTAAATTCTCATAATTCTTTCTGCCTCAGCTTCTCCGTCCCAGTCGCGTTTATTTTCATTATCACTCCGTCTGTTTAATCTATATTTCCACGTCTTTTTCTAACCGACTCCCTCTGCTAAAATCTCTCTTTTCTTTTCTTTTCAGTTTATTTCACAGTGATTAAAACGTGTTTCTCCTCTTTCGGGATACCCCAACAGATCGATAAAAATAAAAAAAGACTTTATTCCTCCTCTCTGAACATTCCTTATTCACTGTTTTCTTTTTATCAAGCCCTCTTTTGCTATTTATTTTTGGCTTTACCTTTTCCGACTTTTCTTTCTCCATTGAAAATATATTTATTGCTGCCTTCTCTCATTTCCTTTGTCTCGCTTCCCGCCCTTCCAGTGTATATCCTCCATTTTGATTTTTCATTCCAAGTTTGCCTTTATTTATTTATTGCGTCTTTTTAGTGATTTCTTTCTTGCTTCTCGCTCCGTCTACCGTTTATCATTAGAACTCTTTCATTATTCCTATTTTTTTTTATATTTCTTTATTCCTTTTTTGGTCTTTTCGTTTTCTTTGTTCGTTTTAAAAGAAGTTTCTTTTTAATATAATCTATATTTTTCATTCAGTTTTTTTTTTCTTTTTCTGTAATCATGCCAATCACGTTCTTCCTTTTCTAATTTATGCGTATATTTTTGCTGCTTTTTTATTCGTATCGTCGGATTGCTAAGATTTTCATTCGTTCCCAATCATTTCTTTACTTTCTTTGTTATTTTTTTTTTTTTTTTTGCTTTTTCTTCCTGTGGATTATTTATGCAATTTCCCTTTTTCATTCTTTCTTATTTTCTCCTTGGCTGTTTGCTCTCTTCCATTCTCGTTTATGCCTTTTCTCTCGTGCAATCGAGCTCTTTTTTTCACTAATCCTCCTATTGCTTTTTTTTACTTTTTTTCTTTTGTTATCTTTGTTTTTCTTTCCTTTTATTTTTCTTTCTCTTTCTCTTTTGCTTTCTCTATTCTTTCTCTTTCCGTTCCCGTTCTCTCTTTCCGTTCCTTTTCTCTTTCCGTTTCTTTCCTTTTCTCTTTTCTTTCCTTTTCTCTTTCTCTTTCTCTTTCCGTTCCCTTTATCTTTCCGTTCTCTTTCTCTTTCCGTTCTCTTTTCGTTCTCTTTCTCGTTTGCTTTCTCTTTTCTTTCTCTTTCCGTTCTCTTTTTCTTTCCCATTCCCTTTCCCTTTCTCTTTTCTTTCCCTTTCTCTTTCTCTTTCCGTTCCCTTTATCTTTTCGTTCTCTTTCTCTTTTCGTTCTCTTTCTCTTTCCTTTTCTCTTTTTCTTTCCCTTTCTCTTTTTCTTTCCCTTTCTCTTTTTTGTTTTCTCTTTTCTCTTTTTTGTTTTCTCTTTTCTTTCCTTCCCTTCCTTGATCTTCTTTTTTCCTTTCTTTTTAAACATACATTATTTCTTGATTTATTTTTCTCTTCCCTATTCGAATTCATTTTTCTTTCTTATTTTCTTTCTAAATTTTCCTCTTTTTTATGTATTTATATTCTGTAATTATTCATTCATTTTTTTTCCATAAATTCATATTGCACTTCATATTTTCTTCTTTTTCCTCCTACATTAATCTGTTAATTATTTTCCTCTTCTTTTCCTCCAGCTTTTTATCAGAAAACGGGCCTTCTCCTTTTTTTTCTTTTTGCTTCAAATAATCCGATCTGTACGTCCATATCTGTTTCTCTTCCTCTTCTACTCGATAAGCAAACATACGCAAAACAGTAATTGGGTCTCTGCAATATAGTTACTGCATTTATTTATTTATTATTGACGGTACAGCGGATGATGACGGGGTGGAGGTTTAAAGATACCGCAAATAATCAACAGTCGGTTTTGAGCCAATGTCAGCGAATTATATTATCATTTGGGTGGGTGATGGGGTACATGATCCAGAGATGAATCGGAATCAATGCTTCATATTCAGCTTATCATAATTCTTAAATGACGAAATGACAACAAACAATAACAGCCTGAAGGGACCGCCATTTTATTTGCTGTTATTAACATTGGGATTATTATTATTATTAAGAAGAAACATAATTATTATTATTTTCATGATTCAGTCATAGTCTCGTATTATTATTTGTAATTTAGGTGGTATTATCATTATTACCACTTACTTTTATTTATTTGTATCAAGTTAATGCCTATTATTAGTCACTGTATCACTCAGATAATCACTTATAATAGCTGATTTTTATAGTCATTTGTCGTAAGCAGACAATTATTTTAAAATATAACGTTATTTCTTTCTCGATTTATGCAAATTCATTCCTGTCTCTCTCTCTCTCTCTCTCTCTATATATATATATATATATATATATATATATATGATCTCCGTAAATTATATATATATGAAGAAATATAGTTTTAAGGTGGGCTATATTTATGGGATAAAGTGCTCAATATCAGGGATAGAGCGTAAGTAAATATAAATATAAAAGGGAACATTGAAGTCAGCACTCAGAGGTGACCTGACGATTGCGTCCGGCATGAAACAGCCTCTGAGTGTTGACTTCAATGTTCACACACACACACACACACATATATATATATATATATATATATATATATATATATATAAAATCTAGTAAATTTCAAGATTAGTTATTCGCTTGAGGATGAAACAGAGCTGGGTACTTTAATTCAATTTAATTTTTTTAATTTTTTGCTTCTGTTTTTGAAATATGAAAACTCTTATGTAGCGATGGAATCATATTTTTAAAAAATAATTATAATTTAGGCTCTACTTATGTATTGAACACTATTTTTAAAAAAAAAATAAAAACAAAAATACTAAAGAAGTTCAGATTATTAACTTAATGGTTCTCTCCTATTTTTCTATATATTTGCACATACATACATATATAATGAAATGGACAAAGTCCGACAATTATTTCAAGACATTTTTATGTTTATACATTCTTTTTATAGATAATAAACAGAGCATTTACTTAAATATTTGTATCTATAAAAAGAATGTATAAACATAAAAATGTCTTAAAATAATTGCCGGACTTTGTCCTTTTCATAATGAGTGACGTCATTTGTTTACATTTGGATACGCCATGAGCAGATATGAATGTACGTGAGAGATTCATGGAAGATTGAAGTCTAAATACAGTGAAGACACGTCATGCTAAATGATGGTTCCGTATAGGATACAGGTTCGAATCCTGTCGGAGGACGAATATTTTCTGTGAAAATTTCTCGGACATTCAGGCCGGTAAATGTTGTTTAATAGTGTTTATTATAAAACAGAGCATTTACTTAAATATTTGTATCTATAAAAAGAATGTATAAGCATAAAAATGTCTTGAAATATATCAGGTCATCCCATAAGTTCTGTCCGAATTTTGAATAAAGAAAACAAGTGACCAAATGTTACATTTAATTACAAATTCAATCAACAATGTATTTTCCCTGATTATCTATGACTTCCTTCCATCTATTAACAAACACTAATTCCATTACTGTAAAATTCTTTTGGCTTTTGATTCGAAGAACTCACAAATGTCAGTTTTAACCTCTTCCTGTGTTACAAAAGCTGTTTCTTCCCAATGATTCTGTAAGCTACGAAACAAATGGTAGTCTGAAGGAGCAAGATCGGGAGAATTTGGTGGATGAGGAATTTTCTCCCAACCAAGTTCTTCGATCTTTTGTGACGTGATTTTTGCTGTGGGGGTCGCGCATTGTCCTGATGAAACATCACCTCTTTTCGATTCACTAGAGCAGGTCTTTTTTTCCCTCAAAGCTTGGTTCAAACGCTCTAATTGCTGACAGTATATTTGAGCATTAATTGTTGCATTAGGTAGTAAGAATTCAAAGTGGATTATTCCTTGGCGATTCCACCAGATTGAAAGAAGAATCTTTTGCCCATGAAGTTCCCTTCTCGGCTGTGGCTGGGGTCCTTCCCCTTTACCAAGCCACTGTCTATGACGCTTAACATTTCGATAAAAGATCCATTTTTGGTCGCCAATCACAAGTCTATCCAAAAAAGGTGAAACAAGTTGGTGAGAATGGAGAGAAGAGCAGATGTCAACTCGGTATTTGAAGTTGTTTTCACACAATTCATGAGGCACCCATTATCCAAGTTTAGGAACTTTTCCAATTTGTTGAAGATGACAATGAACAGTTGTATGGCTTGAACTGAGAACCACTGCCAATTCCTCAAATGATAAAGCAGGATTTTCTTCAAGGGCTGCTTCAAGAAGCTTTTCATCAAACTCAACTGGACGTCCGGTTCGATCTTCATCTTCAAGGGTGAAATCTCCACCTCTGAATTTTGTAAACCATTTTCTGCAAGTTCTTTCATTCACACATTCCTCTCCATAAACTGAGTGAATGTTTCTAGCCGCTTCGGCTGCTGAGTTTCCTTATTTGAACTCATAAAGCATTATGTGCCTCAAATGATTCTTGGGTACTTCCATGTTAGCAGGGTTTTAATTTTATTGTTCTCTGAAATAAACTTTGATCAGTTTAAATGCATCTAAACATAAAAATAATGTTCAGCTCCATTAGACATTATAAAATACTCTTTAAATTTAGTTCATTTTAACAAAAACTTAAAATTCGGACAGAACTTATGGGATGACCTGATATATATACCTGGGTATCATGCGACTTTTGAAGGGTATGATGGTAATTTTAAGAGAGTCGCATCATACACGAGATATAGAATTGGCGTATGTCCTGCTGGCCCTATCTACACCGTTATCCATTTACTGTAGTAAAAAGAAGTACAGCTGTATTTAAAATAAACATCGCGGGTTAAACGAGTATATATAGTCTCTACCTACCCTGGTGATTGTTTTAATCTGTATCACCCCCATGCAAGTGAGTGAAGCCACTAAGGCACAAGGGGTTACAGGGTGTGGAAGAATGAGAAAACAAAAACATTAATAATAAACGGGAAGAGAAACTAGTAATCAAGAGGACATTAGATAGCGATTGACATTGCATTTAAATTTTTCCATATTAAAGTTGGCTGGAAAGCATTGCGCCGAAAGGGAGTTCCACAAGCGAGAAGTGTGAGAAAAGAAACCGTTAGCATAGAACTTTCGGAACACCTTGCCAGCTCAACTGTAAATTGATGAAGTTCTCTTCGCCTGTATAGTACGACGCTTAAATTCAGTATCATAGTGAATATCTCATCTGAACAAGTATCATGAAACTATTTATAGAAATGTCGCAGAGAGGCAACGTTACGGTGGTGGGAACGTGATTGAAGCTGAGCAGCCAGATCAGGACCAATAATATTGCTGATACTTCTTTGGATTTTATTAAGAAACTCAAGGTAAACAGCAGAGGCACCGGATCATATGTGACAACACTATTCTAAGCATGGACGAATGGTAGATTTATAGATATGTAAGATAGATTCTAGGAAGAAAAAATGTCTTGCACGATGCAGTGAACCTGGCTTAAGAAATTTGAAATGTTACACCATATTTCTTGGAATTCTGAAACGAACTTCGGATAATTTGCGATGGAATTTCTTCCGAGTCTGAGAAGGATTATATATACGTAATTGGTAAAAGTCGATCAATAAAATTAATCGACACAAAATGTCTATGGTTTTTAATAATAGTAATAGAATAATCGTAAAGAATAATCACTTCCAAAATGAACAGAATATATATATATATATATATATATATATATATATATATATATATATTCGTCTATATTTCTGAGATGAGGTATTATGTACACTATTTACATTATTCGGACTTTTGTGCTCATCTTTGTCACCATATTTATTACAACGTTTCGGCCGTTGTACACTCCGCCCTTCTTCAGGTTGTTGGAATGTCGAACTGAACCCTTTATTTCACATAATATTTGCGAAATAAAGGGTTCAGTTCGACATTATATATATAATGTGTATGTGCCAATTAACGAATATTTTTTATATGATATCACTTCTCTTTAGTAAAAACTTTAGATTTCGTAGAGGAAAGTGTTTCAGTAAACTGCCTCTGTTCCGATCTCTCTGCAGGGAGACATTAATTTCACTGTTTAATATAAAAATATGGTTGTCTACTCAAATACATGTACCCATGAATACAGTGTAACCCGGATATAAGAGAGATTTTCTCTGGTCCCAAATTAGAGCCTGTGTTGATGTATATAAAATAGACCGAACCCGGATATAAGAGAAACCCGGATATAAGAGATTTCTTCTCCGGTCCCGACAACTCTCTTACATCCGGGTTATACTGTATAATGTGTATACAAATCGGAAATAATGTCGAATTAAATACACAAAATAAGATTAGGGTCAAAGACAAAACTAAGTTAAATTTATAATTTTGTTATTAATATAAACATTATATTTCGTGGTGAAGTCACTGTTCTATAAACAGCGACATTGATGTCTACAGATTTATAGACTGAAGGTTTTAAAAATGAAAATGTACATCGCAGCAAGATTCGAGCCTGTATTCCAGTTTTAATCTGGGAACTACACACAATCACAGACAATACATTTCCTGGATAATATTAAAAATATACCAAACACGTGAGTTACTAAAAATTTCATAATAATAATCCGATCGTCAGACGCACGCTAAAAATAAAATCTATTCTTAGCGCATATATATATATATATATATAGAGAGAGAGAGAGAGAGTTTTAGCCTAGAAAAGGGTTACTGAATGAGGAATAACCAAAGCGGAGGTTAGAAATGAAATGGTAATCTTTATAACATCAACAAAATACAATACCCGCCAACGACGTGAAATAGGTAAACCACTGCTATTGGTGCACTACTTAGACTTACAATAGTGTCCAACGTATTTATGAGGATTGGGACATACACATTAGTGTTCATAGGTACGATATATATATATATATATATATATATATATATATATATATATATATATATATAAACTAGAGATCTGCTGATCACGCTACCTTGGTTTCTACCTTTCAGTATCTTCAGACGATCCGGGTTAAATAATTTCCTAATGTTTTATTATTTAAAAATAAATAAATAAACGCACAAGGCAAATCATAACAGGAGGAGAGGAGAAAAGCAAGAGTATTGAAAAAAAAAAGAAATTTTTTGTGTGTCTCACACAAAAGATTCCATTTTGAGTTCGTGGGAACCAGGATGAAAGTATGTACATTTCATATGACCCCCATTCCTATACAATTTCAATACCTTTGCTTTTCACCGTTTGGCCCAGTGGATAAACATGTTGGTTAGATTCAGTGTCTAGACCCAAAAGTTGTGAGTTCAATACCAGGCCATAGCAGTGGTGAACCAAAACTTGGAGAGTTGAGGTAAGTGAAAATAACTGAGACATGGCACGTGGAACTAGAACAATCTACACCCTGAAGAACGCCTGAGCGTACAACGGCCGAAACGTTGTGAATATGACAATGAAGATGAGGATAACAGTCCGAATAATGTAAATAATGCAGGTTATCATAATACCTTATCTCAGAGATATAGATGCAGAAACGTTGTGAATATGGCAATGAAGATGAGGATAACAGTCCAAATAATGTAAATAATGCAAGTAATCATAATACCTCATCTCAGAGATATAGACAGTTTGCTTGTTTATATTCTCCCTGCTTTTCTCTGCATATATAATTATATCAACAAAAATATTACTTTTTCCTGAAGTACAAGCAAAGTTTTTTTTTCCATTTTGTTCTTAATTTTCCTAATTACTGAATTTCATACTTTCTTTAGGTTGACTGCTACTAAGCTAGGATTTTTAAACTGTTCAACTCATTAGTGCGTACAAATTTTTGAGAGTGGGTTGCCTAAAATTAAAGATCTGCTAGACCTAAGATTACTATTACCCAGCAAGGTAACTTAGGCTAAAATAGTTAAAACTTTAAGGAAATTTTATGCAGTAATGGATTAATTTCGTTTTTATTATTACTGAATATATGCAAGCCCTCCGAGAAGAGAAAGTCTCGCTGGCCCGATGTTAGCTAGTGAATGAGTTTCAAAAAAAGTCACGCCACATTCAATTTTTAGGCGGTTTTTCGAAATCAAGAAGGTGGCTTCAAATGTTTGGCGTATTTTATGTAATGCTCAACATCTGGTGTCTTTCCGTGATCCTAGCTCTTCTGGGCGTTTTCGAGGGCTGGTCCCCCCCCACTTTTTTTTTATCTACCTTCAGTTTTAAAGTATCATATTCGACAACGTGGTATCATGTCAGCTTAAAAATTAATTAAAACTTATTTCAAGTAAATTTACTTTAGCTATTCATATTCTTCAGTGTATGTCTTATACAGAGGTCAACTTATTACTTAAGGTAAATCATCATTTGGCGTTTTCGGCTTTTAAAAATTCGCTTTATATGTAACTGTCTTAATATTTATTACCAATTTGCGCCTTTATAAGTAAGCATGTTATTCCAATGAAGACATTTCTGGTTTTGAAAGCCTTAGCGTAGGAGTTAAAGCTTGATAAGATACGGAACTAAATGATGATGGCATTTCTGGTTCTGAAAGCAGTGACCATTTTATCGTAGGGGTTAAAACTTGATATGTTACGGAACTAAATGATTTACAAAGGGAAGTGACCCACGTTACCGTTTTTAACAGTGTATTTTGAAAGTCTAACATTCACAAAATAGTAAGGTGTGGAACACTAGGATGTGTTTTCTACACAGATTTATTCAATCTTTACAGCGAGGGTATCCTATAGTAGCTGGAGACCTTCCCAGGATTTATTTTTCGGCGAACGTCATCTTAACAATATAAGATTCGCAGATGACAGTGTGTCGATGACTGACACGGAATGGAAATTATAGGTCCTCCTTAGACAGAGTAGTAAAAGAATGTGGTGGTGGTGGGGGGGTAGTCGTCAACTGCAAGAAGACAAAAAATATGGGTTATCAGCAAGAGGCAAAGCCCGAGATGTTAGTTACGAATTTTTGGATGTCAGCTTCAAGCAAGTGTAGACGTTTAAACATCTGGGAAGTGTTTAACAAAGGAGAATGCGACGCCGGAATCCGAACATGCAATGGACTAGCGGCATTCCAAAAGTTAAGCAAAATGCTGAAAGACATGAAAATTTCGTTTAAAAAAAAAAAGAAGAAGAAAAAAGAATGCTGTATTACTATGTAATATCAATCTTC